ACCGGGCTTGGCTGAGAGATGGGAGTCCCCGAGCCCAGCTGCTGTGTGGGGGTGGTGTGGAGGTGCTTGGCTGGGATTGGAGGGGTTGGGATTAGTGCTGGTGACTTGGAATTGGCACTCCTGGCTCTCGGTGGAGTTGGCTCTGGGGAAGGTCCCGGGACGTGGACTTTTCTCAGCTCTGCTAACTGGCAAATGGCATGACAGGAATGCCAGCACCTCGGTTTTCTGTGTGTCTGTGTTTTGGTTGTTGTTTTTGGTCTAGAAAAATGGGGCTAAGTAGGCTAGTCCAGTCTCCCATGTGGTGGGGAGGACATGGCATTTACCTTCCGGTGACAAAGGCCAGCACTGGCCACGGGGCTTCAACTGGTGACGTGAGTGATGGGGCAGCCCCTGGGACACAGGGAAAAGGGTGTGCAGCCTGCAGTCAGTCACCCTGGCCCTTGGGGTTTGTGGTGACACGCCTTGGCTCCTCTCTTGGGTGCTTCCCTGCGGCTGCACCTCTGCTGGGATCAATGCACTTGGGCCCGCACCTCCCACCCCTGCCTGCTTCTCTGGGATCTGTGGTCTTTCCTGAGGGGACTCCCTGGGGTTCCGATGTGGGGTGAGACTAAAGGAGAGGGCTGGCTGGTGATTCACTGGGAGGGGTGAGCCCTCTCAGTCTGAGGCCACCTTGGAGGACAGCCAGGATTGGAAGGAAGGCTGGACCCAGGGAATCCGGGGCACCCCGGCTCAAGTCCCAGCCCCGAGCCTCTCCCTCTGCCCTGGCTCCTGCCTTGAGGGATCAGCCAGTGCTGGTCTTTCCCACTGCTGACCAGTCCTTTAAATTTAAAAAAATGATCTTTTATTGTGTGTTAGGTGAACGTTTCCCACTGGCTAGTTTGTACAGAGCAGTCCAGGACACGACATTGTCCCTGGAATTCCTGAGTCATCCTCCCACGGCATGGAGTCACTCTGCCCTCATGCAGGGAAGGGGGCAGGCAGAAGTTCTTGGAAGGACATGTTGGCTTGCTCAACGGGATCTCTGGGCTCTGTTGTCTTGTTTCTGGCCTCTGTGTAAGCAAGGTTGTCAATAAAAATCATGCCGGTGCCCACTTTAGCAGCTAATCTGAGTGACTGCTATCTTATCTCGCTGGAGCTCCCTCCAAAGAGAGGGACGTGCCCTCAAACATTAGCCACCGTAAATCAATACAAAACAAAAACAGCCTTTACGTGTGACTTGGGGAAAAGCTTAAGAGCAAGTCGGGCTTCTCTTCAGCGGGTTGTCCATGTTTTGTTGGGTGACATCGATGACAATACCCAGGATTCTGACCGCATTCCTCCCACTTCTTCCGGCTGCTTCTCATTCCGGTCCCTTCTTCTCTCCCATGCTTTCCTACCTCCCGAGTTTATCCCCGGGCGGATGCTGCCCTCTCCATCTCGTAGCCGGCACTCCTAAGGAGGGCGTGCCTTCCTGGGGATACTGAGCACCTTCTGGGCCTGTGTGTGAGGCTGGGCGTTGAACAAGGTTCCACCAGTCTCTATCAGACCAGTAAGTCCACTCTTTTTGAAGAGTTCCTGCTTGTTCCAGTTTCCTCCCACTGCAGGCCCTTTCAGAGTGGTCGACAGTGGTGGCCAGACATGACCTTCCTCTAGTTCTTCTGGCCTTGAGGTTGCAGAGACTGGCGTGCACATGGCCCGTTAGCCTTTGGAGTCACGGTTTCCAAGTTGTTTTTTCTTTTCTTTAATTAAAAAAAATTTTTTTTTGGTCTTTGCTTTTCTTTACTCGCCTTTGCCCCGATGGGAGAGACCAATGGCCGCTGGAAAACTTGTAAGACCCAGGTTGCTACTCACCAAAGTAGGATGCTGAACATTATCTTTGTGGGTTATACGCGATACATATCGTCCCATGCCGATTGATCGTGTGTCCCCTTTGAGGCTCTGGCCTTGAGCACCCGGGCCCCATGGCTCAACCCCTCAGTGTTCAGTTTATCAAAGCCAAGAAGCTTTCATGCCTGCACTCCCGGTGTGCTCTGCTATATTCATGGATATGCACAGAAGCAAACGAAACGCAGGAGCTTCCCTCCCCTGACTCATAGTGACTCTGTAGGGCAGGGCAGATCTGTCCCTGTAGGTTTCTGAGGCTGTAGCTCTTTAAGGGAGTAGAAAGCCTGTCTTTCTCCTACAGAACGAGTGGCTGGTGGTTTTGAACTGCTGGCCTTGAGGTGAGCAGCCCAACCATTCACCCATGATGCCACCAGGGCTTATAAATGCCTATGTGGAAATAGTCTGTCAGACCTACATACGAAGGGGCTTCAAAAAGTTCATGGGGAAATTCTATTTTTTTATTGTTTTCCATGAACTTGTTAAACATCCCCACATACATTCATGGGGACATTGCATTTAGTTCGCCTTTCCACTTAACCCTGTTTATCTTGTGCGTTCATCTTGTGTGTCTGCCTCTGTGTCCACTCTTGTAGATGGTCAACGAGTAGATTGCTGTGACTGTTACCGCAGGGTTGGGTGTGAGAGACTAGTGACTTTTGCTGCCTTTGACCCCAGGTCTTCCCAGGGTCTCCCTTTCCCTGGATAATTTTGTGCTGACTCCCCACTCCCCCGCCTCACCTTATGATCTGTCTGTCTTTCTTTTCCCCCAAGTTCATGCGCCTACCCTATAGTTAGTGTCTTACCCCTCTTTGCCCATCTCACTTTCAAAGAATGTTTTTTTTTCTGTGAGTGAACCTTTGCTGGGCTTTTTATACCAGGGGTCTCATGTCATATTTGACCTGTGGGGATTGACGGGTCTCACTCTGCAGAACGCCCTCCAGGTTATGAGCCATTCCGCAGACGCACTGTGATTCTTCAACACTGCTTAGTGTTTCACTGTGCTCACGCCCCGGGCTTTCTCCATCCACCCGTTCATGGGCAGTGGGCTTGTTCCCATCTTTCTGCTCTGGTGAAGATTGTTCCTATGAACAGGGCTGTGTCTACACCTGTCCTTGTCACAGCTCTTATTTCTCTCGGGGAGGGATTGCTAGATTGTGTGTTATTTCTGGCTCCAAGTTTCTGAGAATATGCTGTGTCATGTTCCACAGTGGTGGCACCATGTTATAATCCCACCCAGCAGTGTGGGTGGGTGGGATGGGTGGGGGTTCCAGTCTCTGCACACCCTAGCCAGTATTTGTTTTCTGTTTTAAACTGTGCTGTTCATGCTGGGAGTGGTGTGTGGGTGGCTTGGTGAAGTCTTTTGGTGCATATACATGTTTCATTTTTAGGAGGTCCCTGTCATAGAGTTTTCTGTTGTCTGTACATTTTTAGTTATGTTTGATAGAGTAAGTACGCTATGCATAGGGCCTTAGGTTCATCCCTATTTTTTTCCTTATGGCTTTAGGTTTTACATTTATTTATGTCCTTGATCGCTCTTGGGTTCGTTTTTTTTAGATACGGTGTGAGGCAAGGATCTTATTTCATTTCCTGCAAGTAGAGATCCAGTTTTGCCTGTGCCCTTTGTTAAAGAGGCTCTCTCTTCCCTGTTTGATGGGTTTGGGCCCTTTGCCCAAGTAGCCATCCATAGGAGAAAAGAGTTCCCTCTAAGTTCTCGATTCCGTGTGTCTGTCTGCTGCACCAGTACCAGGCTGCTTTGACTATCGTGGTTGCATATAGTAGGTTTGTGACCGGGATGTGAGAGGCCACCTACTTGGTTCTTCTTGAGTAGTGCTCTGCTTTTCCAGGGTCTCTTTCCTTTCCATATAAAGTTGGTAATTTATTTTCCCATCTCTTTAAAGAATGATGCAGAATCTGGACTGGGATTTAATTATATCTGTTATTTGCTTTGAGTAGTATTGGCATTTCACAATGTTAAGTCTTCCTATACACCAACATGATGGTATAGTCTTCCATTTACGTAGGAGATTCTCTTTTGGTTTCTAATACTATGTTTTGTGGATTTCTTTGTATGGGTCTAGTTAGATTTACTCATAAGTACTTCGTCTTTTGGATATTACTGTAAATGCTCTTATTTTCCTGGTTTCCTTTTCAGAGTCCTCTTTGTTAGTACAGAAGAATCCAACTGATTTCTGTATGTTGACCTTGTATCTTGCTGCTCAGCCAAATCCTTGTATTAGTTCTAGTAGTTTTCTTGTTGAGTCTCTGATAGGATCATAACATCTGCAAATAGAGATAGTTTCACTTCTTCTTTGTCCAATTGGATGCTTTGGCTAAGACTCCCAATAGGAGCCCTGAGGGGGTAGTGGGCTATAGTTGGGCTGCCAATCACAAGGCCAGCATTTTGAAGCCACCATGAGATCAAGACAGTGCTTTCTATTCCCTGTAAAGATTTACAGTCTCAGAACCCCACGGGGACAGTTCTACTCTGTCCTATAGTGTTGCTGTGAGTCAGCATCGACTGGAGTCTAGTGAGTTCAGTTTGGAGGACCCCTGGTGTGGGGGACACACCTTCCACTGAATAGGAATGATGAGAAAGGGCACCCTTATTCCGGCCAATCTTGCATTCGACTTTATGAGGAAGTCTGACCCTTCACCTCCCCTGTTCAAGACCTTTTCATTGGCTCTCGGCTACTTCCAGGATAAAGTTCAGACTTTACCCTTTATCCCGGCTCTGGCTCCCGCCTCAGCCCCTACTCATCTCTACCAGTCTCCACCCCAGTCGTCCCCTGGACCTGTTCTTGAACCTGTCAACCCTGCCTTTATCCGCCTCCTTGCCTCTTCTTCATGTTTGTGCAAATAGCTTTGGGTTGTAAGGTTGGCTCCCAGCTGCCTCCCCACCTCCTCTGGCCTAGCCTCTGCAGGGAACAAAGTCCCTCCTGCCAGCCTGTATCCTAGACACCCCCTAGCAAGGAGCCTGATGGGGTGGGGAAGGCCTGAGAGGGAGAACAGAGGGCTTCCCGAGGATGGGCAGTTGCAGCCTTCCTCCTGCTGGTTCATGGGGGGATAAAGGAAGAGAGGGCCTGGGGGTGACCTTTTAGGACAATGGCTTCACATCCTCTTCCTTGCAGGCAGGGTTGGCCCTCCACCACGGAGATCCCAGCTGTCAGCTGCCTCCAGAGAAGATGCAGCAGCGGGGCAGCCCTGGCGTGGGTGCGCGTGTGGCCACAGCCCTGGGAATGCTGTGCTTCTGCTTTACAGGTGAGGGCAATGGAGCGGAGGCCAGTGGTCATGGTGAGGGGTGGGGAGAAGGCGGGGGTAGGCGGGCTCCCACTCTCACCCTGGGTCCCGTCAAGCCATCTCTCTAGCAGGGCTGGTCCTATGCTCTAACCACACTCTGGGGTCCAGTGAGCCACACACGTCCTTTCTCAGCCCCAGGTCCCTCTCTCATAAAATGGCCCTCCTAGGAGGCAGTGGTGGCCCAGTGGTAGCAGCCACACCTTCCATAGGAGAGGCCAGGGCCTGAGTTCCAACTAAGGCACCTCCTACGCAGCCCCCACACGCCGGTTGCTATGACGGTGAACAGGTTTCAGCTGAACTTCTGGGTTCACCTCGACTAGGATGAAAGGCCTAGTTACCTACCTCCAAAAATTAGCCAGGGAAAACCCAGTGGATCACAGCGGTCTGGTCTCCAGGCTACCACGAGGATGGATGGTTAGGGAGCATTCATGCTGTTGTGCACGGGGTGGCCCTAAGCCAGAGGCTGACCTGACAGCATCTACAACAAGCACCGGGATGTGGCTCTGCTCTGAGACCGAGGGGGCGCGCGACATGCTGACGCTGGTTCTTGAGCACACTGCGCATGCTCCTTCCTCGGCCTACGCACCTTCGGGTCCCTCTCCCTGGAACGCTGCCCTCAGGCATCGGAGCAACTCGAGAGACCACCCATCGGTCCCCTCCATAGCAAGGCGTTCCTGGCCACCTAGTATCCATGAGCACATCGTCCTCGTCTCCCTGTTCCTGAGCTTGCTTCTTCCCAGCATTTCCTTCCACCGGACGTCATGTTCGAGGAACCCTGGTGGCGCAATGGTTATGTGTTGCTCTGTGATCACAGGTCGGCAGTTCAAAACCACTAGCAGCTTTGTGGGAGGAAGACGGGGCTTTTGACTCTCGTGAAGAGTGGCAATCTCAGAACCTCACGGGCAGTTTTACCCTGTCCTATAGGATGACTATGAGTCAGCATCGACTTGATGGCAGAGAGTTTGTGTGTGTGTGATCATATTTAATGGTCAAAGAACGAGGTCTGCCCTCTGTATTACAATGTTGAGTAAGTTATGTACATCTTCCCATACAGTGGTTGGCCCACAAAAAAAAAATCCCCAAACCCAAACGCTTAATCATAGGAGCTAAGGTACCCTAATCTTCACATCCTCACCCTATTTCAAATCCTAGGCAACACGGGGAAGACAAAGCTGAGTGTCTGTCGCCATCGTGTGGCCAGAAAGGGGTAATGCTGCTATCTCTACTCGGCCTTCCTCTGGCTTCTCTGGAAAAACCAAACCCAGCTCACTGCCATGGAGTCAGTGCCCACTCACAGCGACCCCCAGTGGGTTTCCGAGACTGCAACTGTTTACAGGAGTAGAAAGCCCAGTCTTTCTCCCATGGAGCGGCTGGTGGTTTTGAACTGCCAACCCCGTGGATCGCAGACCCTCCAGTCAAAAGGTTTTGAGTGCCTCCAGTCAGGTCCCTAGGGTTAGTGTCACCCAGTGCTATTGCGCATGTTGTCACAGCTGCCACGGGCCTCTTCCTTTAGCAGACCTGGCAGCGTTTAGCCTGACCGTGGGAGCTCAGGCGCTCCTGGCTCTAGGACCTCCAATACCTAGCAAAGCCTGTGGTGGCGGGGAAGGGGGGGTAGCATCTAGTGCAGCGGTTCTCAACTTGTGGGTCGGGACCCCTTGGGGATCGAACGACCCTTTCACAGGGGTCGCCCGATTCATAACAGTAGCAAAATGACAGTGATGAAGTAGCAACGAAAATAATGTCATGGTTTTGGGGGGGGGGTGGTGGCACCAGAACATGAGGAACTGTATGAAAGGGTCGAGGCATTAGGAAGGTTGAGAACCACTGAGCGAGTGTAACCCGCTGCAGAGCAGGGCAGGGCCGGAGCCCTTGAGCACCTCACCCAGCCCACTAGCCTCTCTCTGCACCAGCACCCACAGCTCCCGCACACTGCACAAAACTTTTACAGGCGGTCACGTTGGTGCCACCTGCTCTGACATTGTCACTCCGTGCTTCCCCAGGGCTCATCCCCAAGTCCCCAGTAAGGGGACACCCTGGCCCCTTGGCTAACCTTGGGCATTTGGGATTGCAGGTAGAGCATCTCAGGCCTTTGGAGACATTTGGTCAGGCTGTGCAGAGATGATGGCCTTGTGTGTAACTCGCCATAAGAACGCGGGGCACAGACTGGCTGCTTCGGTGTCCTACATGGAAGAAAGCTTGCCTAGGTGCGGTGGTCAGCTGCCCTTCTTGTTCAGGACGCTTCGACTGGCCCATACTGGATGGTGCCTGCTGGCTGGTGTCTGGCCAGGATACACATTTTGTCTGACCATTCCCTAAGAATGGCAGGGCCAACATGTGGCACCTCTGTCCCACAGAAAGGCTATCAGGGACCTTGCTAAACTCTTCAGGTGAGACGGAGGTCGTGGTGGCTGGGGAGAGGGCTGCGGGATGCATACACACGGGGAAGGCTTGGGGAGGCCTCTCTTTGGGGGCTCCAGCGCTGAACCTGCCCCAGACACTGCCACTGGCCTCTGGGATTCTGGCCTCTGTCTTTCCTCAACACGAATCCATCCGCAGGTCTGATGCATGCTCCCTCCAACATACACTGTGAATCTTGCCCCTCTCCATCTCTATAGTTGCCTGCCAGAGCCTCTGCTCCTCAGGAATCACTCCTGACAGACCCCCGGCCTCTACTCCAGCCTCCACAGAGAAGCCAGAGGGTGATTGAAGAGGTGTTAGCCAGCGTATGCCTGATTCAAACCCCCACTGCATACAGAAAGAACTCTAAACTCTCCGTGGTCTCTCAGATGCTCAGCCACACTGGATCTCTCGGGGTCCTCTCATCTGCTGTCCCCTTATGCAGGAGCACTCTGATCCCGGCTCTGTGTGCCCAGGCCTTTCCGTCCTCTTTCATTTCCGCTGACCACGTTCTCTTTAGGAAGAGCCTGACTGCTAGCCATAGTTAAGTAGGCGTCTCTCTCTTTTCTATAAAAGAGATTCCTGTTTACTTAGGAAACCAATTTATAATCAAAACACATTTTCCCCTAAGATTTGTAATTCTTTCTCGGACTGAAAGAACAAACAAACAAAAAACGAGTTCCCCTTGGTGTGTACTGTACTAGAACCTCTGCTCTTTTCCAGTTTATACTGGTCATGTGTCTTTAGGGGAACTTGAAGCAGCACAGACAGGCAGCTGTGAAATAGCTTGAAAAGCTACAGCCCCACTCTCGGATCGGTTTGCCCGTTTTCTCCCTTTACCCCTACAATCACAGGCTCACGGTGGTCTGCAGGAGGGTTTGCTCACCTCTCTTGTTCTCTGCTGCAGTTTGAGATGTCATAGGCAAGGAGGAGGTGCCCCGGGGGGTTCATTCTGTTGTCTGTGGGGTCAAATGTGTTGGCAGCGACTCTACGTCATGGATGGATGGATGGATGGATGGATGGACACTGCAGACACTTGCTTTTGACCTAAAAGGAGGACCAGACAGATCCTGAGCGAGCTCGAGGAGCCGACCTGTGAAGCCCAAGTGTCTCTGCCCTTATGCTTTTGCCTTCCAGGCGCAGTTGAGGTCCAGGTGCCTGAAGAGCCGGTGGTGGCCCTGGTGGGCACAGATGCCACCCTGCGCTGCTCCTTCTCGCCCGAGCCCGACTTCAGCCTGGCGCAGCTCAACCTCATCTGGCAGCTGACAGACACCAAACAGCTGGTGCACAGCTTCGCTGAGGGCCGCGACCAGGGCAGCGCCTATGCCAACCGCACCACGCTCTTCCCAGACCTGCTGGCCAAGGGCAATGCGTCCCTGAGGCTACAGGGCGTGCGCGTGGCGGATGAGGGCAGCTTCACCTGCTTCGTGAGCATCCGGGACTTCAGCAGTGCTGCGGTCAACCTGCAGGTGGCAGGTGAGCGCGGAATGGGAGGGAGGGAGCATCCACCCCAGCCTGCACCCCTCAAATAGATCCAAACCCCAGGGCTGGCCTCCCGCACTCCCTGCCCCTCCTCTCCTTAACCTTTGCTCTCTGTGCCCCCCACAGCCCCCTACTCGAAGCCCAGTATGACTCTGGAGCCCAACAAGGACCTGCGGCCTGGAGACATGGTGACCATCACGTGCTCCAGCTACCAGGGCTACCCTGAGGCCAAGGTGTTGTGGCAGGACGCGCAGGGGGCGTCCTTGGCCAGCAACGTGGTCACGTCGCAGATGGCCAACGAGCAGGGCCTGTTCGATGTGCGCAGCGTGCTGAGGGCGGAGCTGGGCGCCTACGGCACCTACAGCTGCCTGGTGCGGAACCCGGTGCTGCAGCAGGACGCCCACGGCTCCGTGACCATCACAGGTAGAGGGGGAGGGGCCCCGACCGGAAGGATGGACGAAAGGGCAGGACGGATGCAGGGTTTCTTCAATGTCAGACCCAACATCAAAACTCAGAGGGACTGGGCCGAATGCAGAAAAGCATTTTCATATAGTTCTCCTCCACAAGACCTCCCTCTGTGACATTTTATAACATGGACTCTGTTTCCTTCCTGCAAGCGCCTAAGGTGGAACTTGGATTGGGGATGAGGCAGTGGTCGGGCGGGGGCGGAGCCTGGGGCTATAGAGGTGCAGTGATACGGGCCTGTAACCTTGCCAGGGGCGGGTGGGAGAGCATGGCTGCATCCGGAACCCTAGACCTCTCCCGGGTGGCTCAGCCCTCTTACCTGGGCCCAAGCCCTCCTCCAGGTGGAGGTGCGCGCCATCTGGAAGAGCTGCGGCTGCCTCTGCTGCCCCCAAGTGGCCAAACACTGGGTAATCGAAATCCTGCCACCCGTGCCATTCCGGCTTTCAGGGACCCCATAGCGCAGGGTGGAAGGGCCCCTGTGGGTTTCCAAGGCTGTAGCAAGGCTGTAGCTGGAGTAGAAAGCCTGTCTCTCTCCCATGGAGTGGCTGGTGGTTCTAAACTGCTGGCTTTGTGGGTAGCAGCCCAGCACATAACCACGCCACCACCACCAGGGCTCTTAATTACCAGCTGGAGGTGGCCTTCTTGGCCACGGTCTTGACCAGGGTGGATCTGAGTCAGAATAGACTGGGCAGCAGTGGGTTTTTAGTTAACTTTTCTTTAGTGCACACCCCAGGGGCACCCCTTGTGTGTGAGCATGCCTGCATTCAGACCCAAGGAGACAATGTCCTTCAGAGCATGTGTTGGGGGGGTGCATCCTGCCTCCTCAATCCCACCCACCCTCCCATGGGGCCAGCCCAGGGCCCACTCGGGGCTAGGACCTCGGGTTCTGTCTGCCTAGTTCTCTTCTCTTCCATGGCTTCTACCCACATGCACATGGCCCCACGGCCTGGCCACTCAGGAGTGTCCCCAGGATCTGCCCAAACCTGAAGCCTTGGCGGCTTATTCCTGTTTTGCTTGGCCCCGAGGGCCTGAGATAACCCCCAACAGCACCCCACAGGGCTTCTTTCGCCTGCCTTCCACGCCGCCCTGGCTCTTCCATCTTCCCTTCAGGTTGGCTGCTTGTTACCTCCTCAACAAGCTCTGCCCACCACCCACCAGGACTGAGCCCATCCCTTCTTGGAGCCCCCCTGGGGCCTGGCTCTCTGTGTGAGAGTCACACCCTTGGATTCTATGATCCTCTGGAAAGTCTTAAGAGAGGCCGCCACGTGGCCTGGTGGGGAAATGCTGAATCACAGGGTCCAGTCAGTGGCTCAGGATCCAGTTGCTGGAGGAGGATGCGGGGTGGGAAGCTCTCCTGGAAGGAGAGGGCTGTCAAGCTATGGCCAGGAAACGCCTCTAGGGAGGGGGGTGAGCAGAGAGGAACCTGGAGCTGGGTGGGCTTCATGCCGCTTTGCACACTGGGCTGAATGGGATGGCTGTGGGCGCGAACCCCACGTCTGAGGGTACATGTGCCGGCAGGGGCAAATGTGCCCACCGCCTGAGAGAAAGACTGGGTTCACGTTGCTTTAGCCACTAGCGTTTTTATGAAAACCCATAAGCTAAGAGCACAAGGTCAGCAGTTTGAAACCACCAGGCTCTCAGGAAGGGGCTTTCTACTCCGATCAAGAGTCCCAGTCTCAGAAACCCCCAGGGGCAGTTCTACCTTGTCCTGTAGGGTCGTCACAAGCCGGAATCGACTCGATGGCAGTGGTTTGATAAACAGAGAATGGTCACCCTTGACGTTGGCAGGGCATTGAGGGCAGATGGCAAACACAGTTCCTCAACAAAGGAACAGAGGACCAGAGCCAAGGAGTTGCCCGCAGGCCACAGGGGCGCACGGACACGGGACCTGTAGAGGAAATCTTTGAAAACTGACCCCGTGCTGGGGGTCTTCTCACTCAGACACCTGTGCAGTTGCATAGGCTAGTTTTGAGGGTCCCTGGCCCTCCCCCACCCATCCCTGGGGGTCTGTGGGCCCCGGCTTCCGTCCTCTGCAGCGAGTAGATGAACCAGGATCAGAACCCAACTTTGGCCTCTCGGCCTCATTTCCCGTCCACCCCACCACCCGCCCGCCTGCTTTTGTTAGAGCAGGTCTGGCCTACTTGGGAGCCCTTGGCCTGGATTTTGCTCCGGGAGCTCTGTGCCTGGCAAAGCATGCTGGGATTCAGACTCTGGCCAGCCTTTCGGCCTGGCCTTTCGCATAGCTGATGAAAGACTGGGTCTCCCTGAGTCTACGTAGAGGGGCCTTTATGGGGCGAGCCCTGGGCTTACAGGCTGAAACCGGGGGGGCTGTGCTTCCCTGGTTGAGTAGGGTCAAGTCTGACCTGGGTTGCAGGCACCACCCCCAGCCCAGGGGTGAACAGAGAAAGCAGCCACCTTGGAGTAATTTTGTAGTCCTGCTCCCTGCCCCACCACAGAATCTCCATTCTGGGTCCCATGCGTTTCTGATGTGTGCACCTGGCCCCTCGTGTCAACTACTGTCTTCCACTCCTGCTCTCAAGTCCGTGGGGAGCTCTAGCAGGTTCTTGAGGATCATTCGGCTGCAGGCTGTGGCCACGTCTGGGGGTGGATGGAACACACTGAAAGGGGGTTTCCGTGAGCTCTAGCCACAGCACTGGCCCCAGAGAAGGAAGGCCAGAGCACCAGCCCTGTTCACCCCTCGTGGCAATGAGGGCCAGCTATGACGGCCTCTTCTCCCTCTCCCTTGTCCTGTGCCAGGGCCGCCCATGATATTCCCCCCCGAGGCCCTGTGGGTGACTGTGGGGCTCTCCGTCTGTCTTGTCGCACTGCTGGTGGCCCTGGCCTTTGTGTGCTGGAGGAAGATCAAGCAGAGCTGTGAGGAGGAGAATGCAGGTGAGTGAAGGGTGTGTGTGTGTGTGTGTGTGTGCGCGCTCTTGGGGATGTTGTATAGAAGTGTGTGGGAAATGATGGGATGGGTGTGGGTATGTAAGTTGGGCTGGAGTGGGTATGTGTATATCTGACCTTGAGGCTGAATGTGTCTTGTGTAGGGGCAAGTGAGCTTGTTCATCTGTGTGCAAATATAGCAGCAGGAGTGTGGCTGCGAGTGTGACTGGGTGGCCGTGCCAGGCTGAAGGCTGGGTGGATCTGTGCAAATGAGAGAGAGTGAGAGTAGAGATCAGTGAACCCGAGTGTGTTTGGGAGTGAGGGGGCAGGCAGCAGCTCCCTGTGCATCCCTCGGGGGCAGTGTGCCCCTGTATGGGGGAAGGCGTGTCTTAGTGGGTCGATTCTGAAGCCCTTTGCCAGAGGAAGCACCAGTATGAGTTGTTTTGGCCATTGGTAGATGGGCAATTTGACACTGGCAGAAAGGAGAGTTGACCTCGGAAGGCGGCTGAGTTGACGTGGGTGGGGAGACCTGGGTGGATGTAGGCAGAGGCTGGAAGAGGACTCGCTGTCAGGAAGGTGACAGATGAGTGAGGCCCTGCAGATGGACAGTGGGGCAGGCGGGGGAGGGATGGGTGGAGATTGATGCATGGGGCGGGGGAGTGTTGAAAGTGATGGTTGACTGGGCTGTTTCATGGTGGAGGCGTGGATTAAGGGGTCTTTGGCTAGGTGGGTGGTGGGCTCCAGGCTGGGAGCCCCTGCAGCCTCCCACAAAGCTCTGCTCTGCTCTGCGCTGGCCTCAGGCTCTGACCTTGGGTCCAGCATCTAGACCACAGTTCAAGCCTGCTCAGACCATGTTGGCCTGCACAACCCTGGTGGAAGTGCACTGATGAAAGAGGGGCTGAGAAAGGTTTTTGTTCACTTGGACTTCTTGTCTCCCAGGAGCTGAGGACCAGGATGAAGAAGGGTCCAAGACAGGTGAGCTTGTGACTTTAGCTGGGGAAAGTTTACCTGGGGGCGGGGGACAACACCACCCCTGCTCGGGCCAGCTTTACTGTAAGATCCCATGAAGCGGTGATGCCTAAGGCCCCTCAACCAGACAGTTTGGCATTTGCTCAGAGTCTGACCAAGGATGGTGTGGCCAGATCTCCCCTCCTGCCACCCTTAACCCCTCCAGAGGCACTGCAGGGCCTGCTGACTTCTTAGGGGTGGGCTCAGACCAGCCCTGGCCACAACTTTGGGGTTAGCCAGCCTGGGTTTAAGTTCCAGCTCCATCTCGTCCAAGCAGACTGGTTTGGGCCCAATCTCTTTGCCTCTTTGAGCCTCACTGTCCTCATCTGTAAAACGGGTCTCATAACAAGGCTGAGCTCCCCAGGCCACAGGGCTCAATGAACTGAGCTAACGTATGTACAGCGCTTGGTTCTATACACCTAGTAAGTGCCCAGCCCTGCTCTTAGGCAAACTGTGAATGGCAGCACCCTTCCAGGGAGGGGATAGGCAGCTCTGGGCAGCAGCTTTGCTCCTTTGTGTTTCCCATCTGTCAGATGGCCAGCTGACCCCTGCCTAAGGGCACCAGAGGGCTGGTTTAACACTGTCTTGAGAACAGACTGGACAGTGGCCTGCAGAGGCATGGCGCTGTAGGGTTACACTGTAGGACCTGGGAGGGAACCCATTCACGCATGCTTGGCCACTGGAGGCCTTGCTGCCCTGCCTTCCTGGGGAACCAGGGCTGGGAACCAGGGCCCCACCCCCCTCCCCAGCAGAATGATGCCTGGGGGTTGCTGTAAATCATGCCAGTCCAGTTTGCTGCCCAGGTGTGGGAGCCATGGAGGTAATCCTGGGATCGGGCATCAGTGTTCATGTCAGGAGGCAGATAGGTTGGATGAAGGGTTGGGGAGAGACTTGCTCAGGCTCAGTTCTGTAGGGGCCCAGGCCCACCCCTGTCAGCGCCCCACTTTGCCCTCCTTTGGGGGCTGGCTGAGTGCATTTTCACATCTCTAGCCCTGGTGGTATAGTGGTTATCCTTTGGGCTGCTAACCCCAGGGTCAGCAGTTCAAACCCACTAACCACACCTTGAGAGAAAGACTTGACTTTCTTCGCCCATAGAGAGCGACAGTCTCGGAGCCTGCCATTCTACCCAGTCCTATAGGGTCTGAGTCAGAATTGACTCGATGGCAGTGAGCTTTGGGGGTTTGTTTTTGGAGCACATTGGTAGCCATGGACGATGGTCTCCATTCTGTGGCCCCCAAACTTATTTAGCCTATGGACATCTTTTGAGAAAAAAACTACTCTACGCCCCTCTGGCAATTCAAGACTTCTGTACTGTAGCCCAGAATCCAGGTTAAAGTGTAGGCATCTGCATGGCCGCAGAGCTCCTCGGGGCGGCATCAGCCCCTTTGGGAAACGCGGTGCAGATGCAGGAAATTGAGGCCCGAGAAGGGCGGGCAGGAGAAGCCACAGTGGGGCTTGGAGCAGCTGCCGAGGCCCCTTTCCTGGGGCGCAGTGCTGTCCCCACCTCTGCCTCTGTTCCCTCCCGAGGTGGCACTCTTCCCTCTGCCCCTGTCCTCTCTCATGGCACACCCTGCCCTGTTTTGCAGCCCTGCGGCCCCTGAAACACTCGGAAAACAAAGACGGTAAGGGCCTGGTGGTGCTGGACCTGGGAGTCTGTGGTTTGTGTGGCCGCGTGGAGGAGGGGAGGAAGGTGACTCAACAGAGACCTGAGGTTCCTGACCTGGAAGAGCTCCCTGGACTCCCCCCTCCCCCCCTTGTGAGATGGCTTAGGGCTGTGTGACCAAGGTCCCCATCTAAGCCAGGCCAGTGCTCGGTGGCAGTAGTGGATACTGAAGGGGGCCCAGGTATGTGGTCCCCCCTCCCCCTTCCCTGGTGTTCAAGACCAAATGAGGTTTGAGCAGATGTAGATCTAAAGGTCAGCTTGGCTTAGGGGGAGTATGGGGGGGGTGTGTGTGTGAAGTGAGGGGCTTTCCCATCTTGCTCCCCTGTGAGGCAGCAGGCTTTCTGGTCGGTGGACGAGCCCAGAGGGGCAGCCCCTGGTCAGAAAGGGACCAAGAGCACTTCCCAGTGGACTGACTGGCCCCCGAGAGTAGGAACAGGAGGAGCCGAGTCACATGCCACATCCTTTGTCCAAGCTCTTGGCTCGGGCCACTACGGAGGGGCCAGAGGCCAGAGGTATGAACCTAAGATACCAGAGGGTGGGGGGTTCCCCACAGCATCGCCATTCCTGGGGAGCTCCGTGTGAGAAAGGACCACTGGAAAAGGGGGAGTGGGCCAGGCCTTGGAGAAGGGACAGGACAGGCTGGGGAGCGGGGAAGGGAAAAGTCTCCCAGCTGCAGGGGCCCTTGGGGGTCAGAGTGTGTGCACTGTGAGTGGCCCATGGGGACTGAGGACAGCCATCCTCAGCACCATCCTGGCTGGGTCAGACCCCCCACCTACTGTGCCGTGTCTGGGGCCAACCTCACGGCACTGTCACCCCTGAATATGTGGTGAGAGCCAGCACCATGCCCACGCCTGGCTGTGGGGCAGAACGTGTGACATTTAATGCCGTTTCCCCTTTTCTCCCCACCATGAAATGCAGATGACGGACCAGAAATCGCTTGACCGTGAGGACCAGGAAGCTGCTGCCCTATGAGAGGCCTGCCCCTCGTCCTGTCCCGAGCCCCCAGTGCGCGCCCAGCCCTGGGAGCTCCCCTGTCCACCAACAGAGGGGTCCCACTCTGGCAGCTTCACCCCATTTCCACAGGACATGATACAAAAGCGACCCCTGTTTCCACCCCTATTTCTCCAATGGACGTGGTTCTCAAGGGCCCTGATGCCTTATCCCTCTGGCGACATGACACACAGACCATTGCTGCCTTACTTCGTATGGGCACCATGACGCAGCAGCCTGCCACCTTCTTTGTCCAACCAAGATGCTACCTGGGCCATCTGGCTCCCTGTGCTCTCCAAAGGACACGCCAGTCAGTGGGGTGCTTTGCCTTGTTTCTCCAAAGACGTGTGTGGTCTGAGTCACCCTGTCCCTCTCAGCCTGCCCTCCCTGCCCTCCCCTTGCACCATCTCTCGCTCCGACCTGCTCTTTGAGTCTGCGCACGGTTTCTTCCCGCCTCTTTCCTCTCCTCCCCAATGGGCCTCTTTCCTCCTCTAAGGACCTGGAGACAGGTGTGCAGAGACACGCAGGTACCCGTGCTGGAACACAGATGCGCCCCACCACCACCCCCGCCCCACAGCTGGGGAGCCCGGGCTGGGCCCGGTGAGCACCCTCTCCCCAGGAAGCAGGTCCAGCTTACACTGGTTCTCTGGAGCGCATGATGGATCCTGGGGAGGGTCAGCTTCTGTCCCTCTATCTGGCCAGCCGGTGGGCCTCAAAACAGCATTGGTACCGTTCCTTTCCTGCCCACATTCGATTCCTCTGTCTTGAGCACCACGGCCTGGCAGCGCTGTGCGGGTGCTGGGTCCCCGAGAGAGAAGTGGGGAGCCCCACCCGCCAGGAGCTGGCCGCTGGCTGGAGACTCACAAGGAAACTGGCCAGGAGCTGAGCGCCCGCCTGGGGGACAGTCGGTGGGCGGGCGGTCAGTGACCCGTGGCACCCACCCCGGCTCCCTTCTGAGCCCGGTCCTGTAACCACAGCTTCTAGATACCTCACCCCAGACCCCAGGGCCACCCCACTGACTGGAGCTGAGGTGCGGGACACACAGGTACCCCCCTCCCATCCTACCAAGGTGCTATTCTGGGGTGGGGCCAGCACCTGGCTTGCCTCCGGACAGCCTCCTGTTGAGAACAACTTATGATCTGATGCCATCCATGCCATGTCCCTCTCGGCAATGGGGGACCTGGAGCTTTTTAATTTAAATGTGGGACTTCGAGGATGGGTGGTGGTGGTGGTAATAAAAGCCTTGATACAAAGCTTCCTCTCGGAGTGTTTACACAACAAATGGGACAGCAGGGACCAACAGAAGGGTTTCCCCCTGGGGATTCAGGCTGGAGCCCTGGGGCCTGGGTGTCCTTGGGACCACCGTTCTTAAGTGACTAGGTTTCTGTGGCCATGTGCCACCCTCCTCCCTGGCGCAGTGACGTCAGATGACCGGAAGGCTATGCTCTTTGGTCCCTATAGGGGGCCCCTCCCACTCAGGAGCACCCCCTGGTTTCTTTCCCCCAGACAATTGGGGCCTGTGGAGGGTTAAGGGCCTTGCCTAATGCCCTGCTTTTATTGGCAGGGAAGCTGAGGTGCCATTCTGGAAAAGGGGTTCCTAGCTGACCCAATGGAATGGGCATCAGGGTGGATTCCGAGGTCCAGGCCCAGGACCCAGGTCTCACTCCTCCTGTGAAAGGAGTCCCCAGATGGCACAATCCTTAAGCCCTTAATTATGTGCTGAGAGGTTGGCACTTCCCCGAGAAGCCTCAGAAAGTAGTAAAACCTGGCGTTCTCCCTGAAAACCCTGCAGAGCCGTTTCTGCCTACCGGGTTTTCTTCACCAACTGGGTCGTTGGTGGCTTAAGGAGTCAGCCTGCTTGTGCTCAGGGTGGGTTTGATAATTAGAAGAGGAGTCTTTGCCCCTGAGACTCGCCAAGTGCCCTCAAGTGCATCATTTCCCTCACTGGGCTCTAATGCCCACCAGCGAAGTGGAGACACACTGTGTAATGGACAGATCCTAGTCCATGAGATTGTTGTAGGAGTGGCCCACGCTTACCCCCAAGATGATACGGAGTGCAGGGACCCAAAGGGGGCTGAGCTCAGCTTACCCATCTGTAGGATGGCACGGTCACAGGATGGCAGAGCCATGGGATTTTTTTCTCTCTTTCTGGAAGGGCTAAGGCAGATGTCCTCAAACTACTGCCCACGGGCCACATGCAGCCCCCTGAGGACATTTATCCGGCCCGCTGGGTGTTTTTGCCCCATTTGTTTTTGTACTTCAAAATAAGATATGTGTAGTGTACATAGGAATTTGTTCATAGGTTTTTAAAAACTATAGTCCAGTCCTTCAATAGGTCTGAGGGACAGTGAACTGGCCCCCTGTTTAAAAAGTTTGAGGACCCCTGGGCTAAGGTAAGGTGTAGACAGGATTGTAAATCAAGCACTCCAGTGAGAGACCAGCAGGTGTGGGACTTTTATGGGGGTGCCGGGGGGGGGGTAGCCAATGAGTACCCCCTGGTGACAAGTGCCCTAGAGAATAATATTTTGAGCTGCCCTTCCTGTGCAAAACTCCAGCTCCTGCATTTTGATGGGCAAATAATTCTCACCGTGCGCCGTGCTGCAGCCTGCAGGTGTCCCACACAGACTCAAGAGGGGATGGAGCAAAGGTCCCTTTGCCTGGCTGGAGGTGTGACTGGAACTCGCCTCCAGGACCATTTGTCACAAGGGCTGTGATCTGACCACTCAAGTGGGGAGCCTTGGGAGAGAGGTGGCCGCAGGACTGGGGGGCCCTGAGTCATCCGGTCTCTTGCTCTTTCCCAGGCTGCTCTCCACAGTCAGAGGCACGACAGGTGCCCTTGAGCCGGGATGCCATCAGGGAGAGTCACCCGCCCTTGCAGAGCCTCAGGAGGCCATTGCTAGGCAGGGTTTTGGTGTGTGGATGTGTATGTGTGTGTGTACATGTACTAATGAGCAGGTATTCTGAGCTGCCCCAAGATCCTGCTGTAAAGTCCACTGCTTAAACTGAGACGTGATGCCAAAGCGTGCCCTAAGGTGCCCAAAGCAGGGCCTTTAAGTGCGTGGAACTCCGACAAAGCTGGAACCAGAGGCCTGTGGGAAGCAAGGAGCCAGAATGGACGCAGGGGCGAGGGGCGCCACAGAGCCAAACAACCCAAATGCAGCCAAGGCAGAAATGGATAAAGTGGTTGAAGTGTTTGTTCTCACTTCCACCCCTACTTCCGGGGGAAGAACTGGCAATGGCATTCCATAGGAGTCCTGGGTGAGCCAACAGTTAACATGCTGGGCTGCGAACCGGAAGGTTGGGGGTTCGAGTGTACCCAGGGTGCCTCAGGAGAGAATGACCAGCCCTGCAAACCCTATTGGCGGGGGTCTGGGGACGGCACCGGGAGTCAGAAGCAGTCTGGATGGCAGTCCTTCCAGACGCCCCCAGGCGGACACACTGACAATAAAACACACTGCTGTTTCTGTACAGAAGTAGAAAGCCCCATCTCTGTCTGACAGAGCAGCTCGCTGGTGGATTGGAACTGCTGACCTTGTGGTTAGCAGCCCAGCAAGGGACCTACTATGCCGAGCCAGAATCGACTCAAAGGCAGAGAGCTTGGTTTGGAACGGACACTAATGGGGTCCACAGGCGCAGTGGATTAAGCAGAGGCCAACTACCTGCAAGACTGGTGATTCAAGTCCATCAGCTGCTACATGGGAGAAAGAGGAGGCTGTCTGTTCCCAGAAAGAGGTACGGTCTCAGAAACCCTATCGAGTCGTTCTAACCCATCATAGAGAGTTAGAATTGACTTGCGAGCAGTGGCTTGGGTTTGAGTTTAATGTACACAAATTGTTGTGTATGGATCCATGGATTTTGACCCATGTGTATAATCATAGAAGCCCTGGAAGTGTAGCGGGCTACGTGTTGGGCTGCTAACCACAAGTCAGCAGTTCGAAACCACCACCCACTCCTAGGGACAGAGATGAGGTTTTCTTCTCCAATGAAGATTCATAGTCTTGGAAACAGGGGCAATTCTTCCCTGTCCTGTAGGGTCATGAGTCAGAATTGAGTCCGTGCTATGAGTTTTTAATATAGATATAGACTTATGTAATCACTACACACAGCAAGACAGAGAATATTCTGGGGCCCGAGAAATTTTCCTTGTGCCCATTTCCAGTCAATAGCCCCACCCAGAAATATTATTCTGACTCCTCTCACCACCATCTCAAGTTTCACTTGCTCTTGAGCTTCATATAAATGGAATATGTACCATTTTGTAGCTAGCTTTTTGCCATATATATATATATAAACATACATATATTTATATCCAAAAAAGCCTCCAAACCCAGGGCTGCAGGCTCAATTTCGACTCAGAACGATACTCCTTAAGGTTTCTGAGACCGCCCATCTCTGTGGAAGCAGACAGCCTCATCTCACTCCCTTGGGGCACTTGGTGAGTTTGAAGAGCTGACCTTGCAGCTAGCAACACAAGGCTTATCCCACGGCGACACCAAAAGCCTCCCTCGTTAACCAAACAAGCAAACTCAAAAAAACATGGCATCTTATGGCACCGCTGTTCCACATTAGGTTTGGACCACTTCCTGTAGTTTGGACACATAACACGGCCTGTGGCAGACGGTGTTCAGTACGGCAGAGCCACACGTGGGATCTCCTGTTCACAGGGCTTCTCACTCACGGCCATCGACTCCATTCCAACGCATAGTGACCCTGGAGAACTGCCCCTGTGGGGTTCTGGGACTGCAACTCTTTTCAGGACTACCCACCATACTGATGGCAGGCCAACTGGTAACCACTACACCACCAGGGATCCTCACCAATAGCTGGTAACTCTGGCTGGGTTCTCACAGGCTGGGGCAGGTTTAGGTGGAAAGGGGTAGGCGGGGCCTGGCTGGACTCAGCAGTGGGAGGGGCCTGTGACCAGTCATCTCTTCCTCCCTGAATCCTCCTTATTGCTTTTCCCTTGAGCTCCTCTGCCTTGTGGCTGCTGCCTCTTCAATTGCTCAGGGTCTGTCTTCGCAGGTCTGGAACCTTCACACGGGAGGGGAGTGTGGATGCCCCCCAGTGGACAGTTTGGGTATAGCGCCACAGCTTGAGTGTGTGCCAGGATTGAACTGAGCCTTGAAGGTAATGGATGGGGCTTCATCAGCAAGTCCTGCGACCATGTTGTCAGCAGAGACCAGTCCCTGGAGAAGGGCCCATGCTTGGTAAAGTAGAAGGGCAGCAAAAAAAAGAGGGAGACCCTCAACGAGCTGGATTGACACCGTGACTGTAATAATGAACCTCAAACATAAGAACGATGGTGAGGTTGGCGGGCGGACAGGGCAGCAGCAGCACCTTGTTGGAAGTAGGTGTCCAAAGGACCGGGGACATTTTTATCTCACCAACGGGCCCCACCAGCTCTCGGCAATTACAGTGACACAGTCGCCGCCGAGGGTCCCCAGATGGCTCCAGTGGTGAAACACTCAACCTGCAGAAAGGACAGTGGTTTAAATCCATCCAGAGGTGCTTTGGGAAAAAAGGTCTGGCCACCTGCTTTTAAAAGGCCTTGAAAACCGGACAAAGCCCAGCTCTCCTCTGCAAAGCATGGCGTGGCCACAAGTCCGAATGGACTGGATGGCCACTTGGGTTTGTCTCTGTCCATCACTAGGGGGCTCCTTTGTCGCTGCTGTTAGGTGCCTTCGGGTCGGTTCTGATTCAGGGAGACCCTCGGGGCCACGGAATGGAACACCGCACGGTCCTTCACCATCCTCACAGTGGCTCTTATGCCTCAGCCCATTCTTGCAGCCACTGTGCCAGTCCACCTTGGTAAGGGCCTGCCTCTTTGTCACTGCCCCTCGACTTTACCCACCTGACATCCTTCTCCAGGGACGGGTCTCTCCTGAGAACATGTCCAAAGTCGGTAAGATGAAGCCTGGCCTCTAAGGAGCGCTCTGGCTGTACTTCTTCGGAGACAGGTCTGCTTGTTCTTCTGGCAGTCGATGGTACTTTCAGTGTTCTTCGCCAGCACCATTAGGCAAATGCGCCCATTCTTCTTCGGTCTTCTCATTCCGTGTGCAACTTTCACAGGCACGCAAGGCAATCGAAAGTATCCCGGCTTAGGCCAGACCCTTCTTAGCCCTCAAAGTGACATAGTTGATTTTCAACACTTTAAAGAGGCCTTGTGCTGTAGATTGACCCAATGCAATATGTCATTTGATCTCTTGACTGTTGCTTCCATGAGCATTAATTGTGGATCCCAGCAAGATGAAAC